GGGGTCCCCTCGGCCTGGCAGCCAGCAAGCTAACCACCAGGCCACAGGCCTCTTCAAGAATTTGTGTTCGGAACTTATATTTAAAGGTTAGATTGCGCAAGCTGAACAAAACTGACCCTTGACCTCATTTGAATAACAGCCAAAAATTTGAATTATGCATTAGAGGACAGAGTGCGGGTCATTACAATGGTAGACAATTTATCGGCGTGAACACATTTGCATATATTGGAGTGGAGACGTAACATGTTCATACTTGGTCAAAAGAGGGAGCTGTCCAAACAAATCATTTGCCTATGTGAATTAAGGAACATTTGCCCCCCCTTCAAAATTTAACAAATATTTCAGAGAATAAAATCAAAAACATTACAACTTGTACTTAAATTACACGCATATCATAACTGCAAGAAGTACCCCAAAACTTCTCTGATATTGTAAAAAGTGATTCACAGAAATTCCTCAAAATCAACTTCTAAAATGTCACATGTCTGAGCTATTACAGTCCAAGATGCCATTTCATAGATTTCTATAAGTATTCAATTTCTTTCCTTATACCACTGTGCTACAGTTCAAACTCTGCGGGAACTTTTAAAAATGTTTCCTTATAAGCAAAGATACCCTACAAAACTTTATCTAATTTCGGTATACTTCTTTGATCCTTCTTCAAATGTAATTTCATTTTGGTTACAATATTTAACGCTAGCGAAATATTGAACATCTAACTTGTAAGTTTCAATGCATTATGAAAACCCAAATTCTCCATTAAGATTTCCAACATTCAAATGCCTAGAATATGCAATTAACACAGTAATAATGTACAAGATCTTTCAAGTCTTTCTAACAAATTCAAACTCTGCAACTAAATGATCCAATAGATGTAAATTGATGTCAAGGTTTTAACTGTCATATCATACATTTAATTTTGAGCCTTTGTTTAATAGGGAACGTTCATGCTACGGTCTCCAATTTGGTTCAATTACTGTATGTTTTGTCATTACCCATCTATCCCTCTCCTCCCAAAATGCTCCGACCCC